CCTGCTCCACGGGGGCCACAGTGGGGCGCGGGTGTCCGGCGGCGGCGGCGAGCCCGTGGGCAGTGGGGGTTGGTCCCGTGGCTCCGGCCCCCGGTACAGAATGGCGACGGCGGGTCGGATGAACATCCAGATGCTGCTGGAGGCGGCCGACTATCTGGAGCGGCGGGAGAGAGGTGCAAGGGGACGGGGAGAGGTCCGGCCGAGCCGGAGCNTTTATAGTCATCTTGAAAAGGGAATATTCTTTTAAATGTTTTCACCTAGAATTAAAAGGGAAAGACCCTAAGAGAGATTTAGATCAAAGGATCTTGGGGTTCAACGTCCTTCTGTAGGTACGGGAAGTTTCTGAGCTTCTAAAACCCACTCGAATGAGAGGAATTAATTATGCCATCATTCCCCCTGGGGGGGAAAGGCGCCTTAGGGAGCAGAGCTCACTGAGTTTTCCGCCGCCCGATCCCAGCGNAGGAGGATTCACGGCGCAGCCCTCGCCCGCCGGAGTCCCGGGAAGCGCGAAACCTCCGGGGCTGCGACCACCAGGCACAGGGCTCCCTCCCGGAACCCGAGCGGGGCAGAGCGCCCTGGCGACGCGAGCTGCCAGCCTTCCATTCGAGAGACGCCCGGCAGGTCCCGGGAAGTTTTCCCTTGGGACAGGTCTCGGCAACAGGTCCGCGGGGCGGCCGGGAGGGGCCGGTGAATCAGTGCCGCCCAGTGCCCGAGCCAGTCCTCCCAGCCAATGCCAGACCTGGGGAGGAGTAGCCCGGCCGCTGACCATGAGCCACTCAGGGCTCGCCGGGCCTGGAGAAAGGTGACCTCATCGTAGCTGGGAGGTTCCCGAAGGCCCCACCAATGGGAGACAGGCGAAGTGGCTGGCCTTCTACAGCTCTTGGCCAATACTGACGAAGCAAAAGGGGGCCCGGTTGTCTGTATAGAACCAATGGAAAACAGGGAAGGAGCACGAGGCGGAGTTGCGAATTTTGTCACCAATTGAAAAGAGGGGGTGGAGCCCGGGCCTTGTCAAGCGTGACCAACCAGCGAGAGGCGCGGACTGTGGGGGGCGGAGCCGTGATCCCCTTCCCCAATCGCACAAGGTCAGGGGCGGGGCATTCTTTGGGGTGCCCAATGAGGAACGCAGCCGAAGCAGGCCTGTCAAGAGAAGGGGCTGGGGGCGGGGGGTTGGTGAGTCGGAGATAAACACTCCGCGGCGGTGGCGGCTGCTGTTCTGCTCGGGGTTCTGTCACGGTGTCGGCTGTGCCCAGCTCACTGGCCCCCTCCCCCTCCCGGCGAGCGTGGTCGCCAGAGAGGCTGCCTCAGCCCTGCTCCACGGGGGCCACAGTGGGGCGCGGGTGTCCGGCGGCGG